ACTTTTGATTGAGAAGTCTGATCGAAAAAGTACGAATTGTTTTGGATTTTACGCACCAAAATGAATAAGAAAATGTCTTTTCCTGAGAAATTTTGGTGCAGTCGATTTATGGTAAAAAAGGAAGGTTATACACTGCCTTTTTTTGAGGCCTGTAGAAAAAATTGTCTCAGATCGACCCGGAAAAAAAATTGTCTTATAGAATGTGGCCTGTAGAATCCATAATTTCAAACAGTTTCAAGATTGGGCTACTAGTTCAAAAGTTACAGCCCTTTGTATTTTCTTTCGAAATTGGTTTCTAGTCTATAACTTTTGATTGAGAAGTCGGATCGAAAAAGTACGAATTGTTTTGGATTCTACGCACCAGAATTAATAAGAAAAAGTCTTTTCCCGAGAAATTTTGGTGCAGTCGATTTTTGGTAAAAAAGGAAGGAAAACACTTTTTTGATTGGACCTCTCAATCAAAAGTTATGGACTAAAAACGGTGCAATTTTACCAATATATAAAATTAAAAAAAAATTAACCTGTGGAACGAGCTCCCGTTACACAATCTGCTGATTTTGAACCAGATAAAAAAAAGTGTTTAAACTTATAACTAAGTTTATCTCAACTAATTTCGTCCAATTTATAGGTGGCATTTTGAGTATGGTTCTCAAAAATCAATTGCACTTGAAATAAATTGAATGGCCTAAAGCAAAGTCTGAAGCCTAGAAAAATGGCTTAAAACTTGACCTTTTTTCAAGTCTAAACGCGTTAAATTTGTATACTCCACAAACTCTGCGTAAACAAGATCGTTATGGTGATACCGGTCAAGTCCAAACAACGGTGTACAGATAATTCCTGTACTTGATTAATGAATTAAAGCCCCATTTAATTTTGCCCTACTAATCCCCTAAGAGTACGTGAGGATCTGAGTTAAATACATAGGCCATTTTGCTACTACCTGGCATAGAACGAATCTGCTGCCACATTTGCGGAAGTCCTATTAAAAATGTGAAAGGTAGATTTAAAGGCTTAAGGTATAGGAATTGACAGCTCGGTGAAGGTGTCATATACACCGCTGCCGTTACTTGGAAAGGAACTTTTTACTATTCAACAGGAGTAGCAAATATCCTAATAGCAGGTTGATGTATGACGCAGATATTCAAACATGCCAAACGTTCGTTCGCTTACAGCAGATACGTTGTATTGGATGATTATAGGTAATATGCCAAAAATTGTTAAGTTGGTACATTTTACAGTAAAAGATGATTACTGTAATTTAAAACGTGCTGCCGTAATGGATGGCTAATGATCTGAATTGTTGAACAAAATGACTGTAATTTATGATCGAACGCTCCAGTGCCGTTGTAATTCATTTCTCTACAAGGCAATTGATTCGATTGAGTAATTGCATATGTAATTTGAATTAGATATGAACTCATAATGAAAAATGGGCCGTAAGTGAGCGATAAAACAAATTTAGTTAACAATGCTCCGAGATGAACATAATTCACCATCGCATTTAAGTTTGAAGTAGATGATTTTGCTTATAGTAACCTAAGGTTTGTCACGTAAGACGGCCAAAGGCTTTAGAGGAGGCGTAATTTTAATTAGCGTTTTAACAATGTGCAATAAATTTCCATTTTGTGGTTATATTAATATCCTGCCTGACGTTACGTACATGCCAGAAATCAATTTCCTTAATTTTACACTTTTCGTTCTCTACACAAAACAGATTTGGTATTGTGCTGCCTGCAGTTTACACCTACCCGAAGAACTTGTGAGGCCACTTGCACCCGGATCACCAAGGTAATTAAGTGGGCAGTGACGTTACTATTGTTAATGAAAGCCAGACAATTGCGCCATAAGATTAGGTGGGGTTTGTGACACACTTTGTGTATTTGGGAGGATGTCGGCGAAGGAGATTCACAAATGGATGGTAGGTGATACAACTCCTTCGTACGAAATAATTTGCAAATGGGCGAGTGACTTCAAAATGGGAAAAACGAGGCTTGCCGATGCGTCAGGTTCTGGGCCACCCATTTCCGCTGTTACCTACTCTAGAAATCATCGCCAAACTCTACGGTTACATTAAGAGATACAGGATACAGTCGACAAAGAAGCAAAAAAGTTGATTGCAAAATTCATAAAAAGCCTTCCTGTCGTAGATCGATTGAAAAATGAAGATTTCTGATAACCTGAAGAGCTGGCAAAGAGGAAAGTTACAACGTAACAAAGAACGATACTTATCCGTTGCCCTGAATATATGACACGCTAGATACACTAACGGGTGGCGTATTGGCATTCTGTACTATTATTCAGAGCAGCTCTGGTCTGATTCACAGTATACTATGGTTTCACGTTATGCGCAATTTGATAATACATTATATACTGCGATTCAGAGCACTGATGTGGTTTAGTGTTTGTTTTATTACTAAGGTCAGCTAACCAAACCACTGGTCGCCCCAAACACTGTTAATATCTTCACCCATTTTTTTTTAATTTCGCTTTAAATCCATGTTCTACTAGTTCCAAATATCCGATCATTGAAAACGTATTCTCGTTGCACATCTCAACCAATACCTGTTTATAGATCATTTTAGTGCAGTTTGAGAACCTTGATTACGCACAAACAACAAAAAATATACTTTTCTTGCAACGCTAACAATAAAAACACACTTCTTGTAAGTGTATGACGCGCTTTATAGAAACCCATTATAAATACAGTGTTTGAGAAGTCTAAAGTTTAAACCACATCGGTTCTCTGAATCGCAGTATATAATGTATTATCAAATTGCGCATAACGTGAAGCCATAGTATACTGCGAATCAGACCAGAGCTGCTCTGAATAATAGTACAGAATGCCAATACGCTAACGGGTGCGAATTGGTTTTCCACCATAGATATGGAAAGCGGTTACTCTGGTCTTGGCAGGTTTAGCCTGGAAAACGTTCCTTGGATGACATAATTGTGATTGGTCGAACGTTCGAATAACACCTTAAGAATCTCGAAGACGTGTTTATAATAATAATGCCTGTATTGACTACTCAATACCCAAAGGGCGGAGTTCAGATTGTAATAAAAATTATTACTCCCTGCTCTTCCACTCTTCCTGCTCTTCTTCTTATGAGGTTGTGCGGTGCTAAACTCCAACTTAATACATAGAAGTGCAACCTTTTCCAAAAAGAAGGGACGTATCTTGGTCATCGCGTTTGGCAGAATGGAGTGACAGTAGATCCCGACAAAATTCGTGCAGTACAAGAATGGCCCCAGCCAAACGATACGGAGTTTCTTCTTGGGCCTGTGGATTTGCCGATATTGCAAAGCCGTTGACCAAGTTAACAGAGGATCAGATTTTAAGTGGGATGATGGATGTAAAGTACTTTTGAAGATCTCAAAAAAGCTTTAGTTACGGTTCCGGTGCTCCGCTATTCTTCTTCTTATTATTTAGTTCCATGCTTTATTATAGGAAGTTCCCAGTTCCAACAAAGCATTTCAATTGTGAGTATACATTCACAAAAACAGATAGACAAGATAACTAAACCTAAATAATAGCGATACTAATAATTGAAGACTTGTTAGATACAGACGTTGGTGATGTTGAAATGGGTGCTGTACTGTCCCCAATGCCGGGCGGGCACGAGAGAGTCATCGTATATTTCCGTAAAGTCTTCTCTAAACCGGAACGTAATTACCCTGTTACCCGTTTCCCGTGAGGATGCTACATTGCGATGGTTTAAGAGTGCAGAAGGTCAAGCAGCCAAGTGGTTGGAAGGACTGCAAGAGTACGATTTCGTAACAGAACACCTCGCGGGACGAAACCATCGTAATTCCGATGCCTTTGCTAAAAGACCATGTCCTGGGGATTGTCGTCACTATCTCACAACTAAAGCACAAATATGAAGAACAACACGTACAACGCACTACACTAGTAGAGTACTTGTGTATGATAACTGGGCACTACAAGACCTTCGGACAGCCCAAGAAAATAACCATGATTTGCGTATCATGATACACTGGAAAATGGAAAAAGGTATCTCGATATGGTGTAGTTTTCAAGGCACAATGGGACTCGTTACTGTTGGAAGATGGTCTTCACAAAAGGGTTCTGGAAAAGGGCGATGGCATGGCAATAAGTGTGCAGCTAGTGGTGACAGAAAGTAGGACATCTGAAGTACAGATGCACGACGGTATATCGGGAGGGCATCTAGGAGTCCGGTTCAGGTACGGGAACGATTTTACTGAGTGAAATGCAAACGAAATTTAAAGGAATGGTGCAGAAAATGTGCAATTTGCGCCACAAGCAACGGACAGGAAAGCAGAAGGCAGAAGCAGAAGTCCATTTGGGAGAATAGCTATTGATGTCGCAGGCCCCCTCCCCGAAACAGATTCTGTAAACAAATACATTTTTGGTTTTGAACTTGAACTATTTCAGCGAATGGACACAAGCAGAATCCATCTTACGTGTTGTTTGGGAGGGAACTCCTTCCGTTTGATTTAGAATTTGGCACAAAATCTGGCCAGGAATAAACTGTGGGAAACGAGTACGTGGAGAACCTGCGACAGAAATTGGGCCCCGTCCAAAGTTCGCGAAGGCGAAGGCCCATGCTAGTGGTTAGCAACCTGGAGATTTGGTTTGGTTGTATCGCCCGCAGAAGAGACACGGGCTACCTCCGAAATGACAAAGAGCTTCTGGAGGGCCGTCAAAGAAGTAAACGCCGTCCACTAGGAAAACCAGAGGTAGTGCACATAAATCGATTGGATCCATAAGGGGAACAGGACGATCCCGAGGAAGAGGAAGCAGCGCATGTGATGCGAGTGAGACCACGACAATCCACTTTCGCGGAATTTATGGCACGTTGCTCCGGAACGTAAAGAACATGCTTTGCTGTTGTCCGTAAGGAATCCAAATTTGTTTGAGGCCGGTATTGCCGTAGAATCCAAGTTCTGGTTGGGGCGCTTAAGTGAAATCTATACCTTCAATGTCACGAAGGTTGATAAAGCGTGTCTCCTATTGCAGCATGGACGATTTCTTCATTATCTGGAAAAAAGACCTGGTTACGAAGATTTACACTACAAATTCATGGTGTTATACCAAGTTGGGAATTCCAAAAATCGGATGTGATCTGGATAAGTTGGACTGTCGCAACGTGCGCAATAAGTTGGAGGTGGTATTCCAGCTCACGTAGGGGAAATATTGGTTTGTTGCTTCATCCCCAGAGGAACCCTGCAACCAATCGTATGATTGTTTTCTCTTCAATAATGGAAGATGCACGCCTCGTGCAAGTACGGCTATCAGGTTCGCGCTATAAAACAATAGTTGCCTGGTGTTGTGCGTCCGCTACAACCGTTTTAAGAGAGGGCCAGTGTAGCGAATATTCCAGAAATCCTGATACACATCGAGGCTCCATGAAAGATTAGTCACTGGCGATAAAGAACGAAGCTAGGTAAATTGACCGAAATCAATTGATCGAAAATCACTTGATCGAAACGACAATTGACCGAAATAGCAATTTACCGAAAACAGTTTGAGCGAAACATCAATTGTATTTACCTAAAAGTAACTGTTGACTTTTGCATTACATTCATACGCCTTCTAAAAGGTCATTTTTTGTTTTTGCATCTTTCCTTCACATCTTATCCAGGCTTAGGGCAGGCAGTATATTAGTTACTCGTGTGATTTGTGATTAACGGTAATTAGGGGCATTCTTTTAGAAATAACATACCCAACTAGAAAGTTGAAGGGGTTAGGAACACAATGTAAAGTTTTACACAAAAATTATTTATATAATTATTCGCTAAATAGATTTTCAAAACAACGTAAATAAAAAAAATTTCGAAACTCACTCGTGGATGTTGCCGCGTAACACGACTGTAAACGGGCAAATATAGACCATAGCAGCTATCAATTGGCGAAAACTCCAAGTCTCTAGGTGGCCTAGGGGGCGAGATCTTGAAGGAACAGACATACAGGCAACGGAAAATTGAGCATACTTCGTGGTGTTACGCTAAAAATCTGAATCAAAAGTTATACGCGAAAAACCAATTTCGAAAAAAAATTCAAGAAGCTGTAACTTTTGATCTAATGGATCACCCAATCTTCAAACTGTTGGCAGTTATGGATTCTACAAGCCAAAATCTATAGGAAAATGTTTTTTCCCGGTCGATTTCAGACAATTCATTTTTCGGACCCAACTTATAGGCAAGTGCCTTTGCATTTCACAGAAAATCGCCTGCCCTAAAAATGTTCGGGAAAACCTTTTCCTATTAATTTAGCTTCGTAGATCCCAAACGTCTCGTATTTTCTCGATCGGACCTCTGAATCAAAAGTTATAGGCAAAAAATCAAATCAAATCAAATGAAAAGTGGCCAATTTCAAAACAGGGCTAAGGCATTCTTGTTGGATAGAGTCATATACTGTGAGCGTAAATTTCTTGCTGCTATGTATTCGTATTCCTTGTAAATACTTGTGTGTCTGTGTGTGTTATGTTTATATGTTATATTTATATATTATTTTTATCATTGACGTGTAAATAATTGTTATTGCAATTTTTCTTACAAATAAACGTATGTTATGATTATGATTAAGAAAAAACCAATTTCGAAAAAAAATTTAAAGGGCTGTAACTTTTGATCTTGTGGCCCAATCTTTAAACCGTTTGAAGTTATGGATTCTACAGAGCAAAATCTATAAGAAAATGATTTTTCCCGGTCGATTTCATACAATTCATTTTTTCGACTCAAAATGTAGGAAAATCGGCTACTCCAAAAATGTTCGGGAAAACACTTTTTCCTATTAATGTAGCATAGTAGATTCCAAAACGTCTCGTATTTTGTTGATTGGACCTCGGAATCGAAAAAAAATTCAAGAGGCTGTAACTTTTGATCCCAATTTGAGCCCAATCTTCAAACTGTTTGAAGTTATGGATTCTACAGACCAAAATCTATAAGAAAATGTGCTTTCTCGGTCGATTTCAGACAATTAAGTTTTCCGACCCAAAATATAGGCCTTTGCATTTCACCGAAAATCGACTACCCCAAAAATGTTCAGGAAAACGTCTCGCATTTTGTCGATTGGACCTCTGAATCAGTACAGCTCCCAATGTTTCAAAAAAAATTATTTCGTTTAGTCCATGAACACTTTTCCTCAGTTTCAGTTCGCAAGCAGTTAGTGACTTTTTAGCACCCATAGAATCCATGTGACTAAAGGATTCGTCCTTAGGATTAAAAAAAACGGCTCCATTGTTTAGTATAGCGTTACCCGCACTTGTGCATTCCCGTTATGGTTACTTAAATATGTCATTCTGTCAAAATTAAGCAGTGAAAGCGACTATAACGTCGTAGCATGTAACATCAACATAAAGTCAAACCGACCTACTTTAGGATAGGGCACTCACCCACATCAGTTTTAGATTCGATCAGAGCATGTTTTCCAAAACAATTTTCCCATTCTTATTGCTATGCTACAACTTCCAAAAGGGTCAAGTAAAGCGCAGATAGAAGGTCCTTTCTTCTTGGAATAGAAGAATCATAAGACCTTAAAAAATGATTTGATGCAACCAAAAAACCAGAAAAATCCAAAATGTTCGAACAATCGAACAATCGAAGAATCAGAAAGCCCCTTTTCGTTAAGAATCAAACATATCACGAAAAAGGTAAAGCATCTAGACAATAAAATCAAGGTGGTTCTTAAACATTCCAATTACTAAAGACTATTTAAATGAAAGAAACTGCCGCGACATTTTCATATCCAACGCCGACATAAAGCATATATGATTTTTATATACTATTAACCCAGCACTTAGGAGTACTAGACAATACAAAAGAGTGAAGCTTAGCTTGTCGATTTTACGTCATTAACTCGATCCGGAAATGCGGAGTGCCACTTAATGTTTAAAAGGATGTTTGAAGTGTGTATAGAGATATGTATTTCTGAAATGCATAAGCATTCCGCACTACCACAATCGCTGTGAATAAACATCATTCGTATATCGTTTATTCATGACCGAGAACGAATGCTTAATTTTTAAAACTCCCCTATAACTAGCAATTGTATAACTTTAGCTTCTAATCCCCATTAGGAAACGAATGCCATTTTATAATATACTAACGATGGAACAGAGTAGCCGTGTTCAATAAGCAAAACGAAATTTCTAAGGTACGACAGCATGTAGCTTGTTAAAAGTTTGGAAGAAAAATAAATAATATAACAGGGCTGAGCCACAATTCCAACTTTATACCTTACTGATGAAATATTAATAAAATGTCACTCAAATTTATGATCAGAAAAACCGTTTACACTTAAATAAATATAACTTGGCAAGAAAGTATGAAAATAAGTTTAACTCATTTAACTTTTTTACTTGCATTATTCTGTTGAATTAATTGACTGCATTATTGGCTAAAGCTGTTCGGACGTATTTTTGTATTATCCCTGTTTAACCCAAGCCATACTTGTCAGGTTTAGCCTCTTCGCCACATTTTATGGTAAATTTTTGTCCACCGCATTTTGCTTCTGAACTTCTGAACCCATGGAGAGTCTACCAGAGAACATACATACATGCCAGTAACTCAACCAGCTTCAGCAATTTCCCTTTTCTTCTGGAATGGAGCATAGATATTGTTACCTATTCACAGTCTAGACCAAACCTAATAGCTTTTGTTAAGTCTTATAAACGTTGAACAAAGTACACCCGAATAAATTTTATTAGCTGTTCAGGTTCATTTTCTTATTTTCCAAAATTTTCCAAACTGGTAACGGTATTCCCGAGATACTACCTTCTTCCTCTCAGAGCCTGACGGTAATAATCTAGCTTGGAAAATTTTTTTCAATGTAACTGTCTGTCGCGCTTTTTTGCAAAACTGTTTTCAATTTCTTTTGAAGAAAAACCACTGCTCCATTTATAATGGAGAAAGCGAGGGAAAAGTGGTTGCTGTATACGTCACGCTCCACGCAACTGGATTCAGCTTTTTCAATGCAGTTTTGTTAGCAATTTACCCAGTTCTTTTCGATTTGTACATTTCATTTGTGAAAAAGCAGCATCGCCACGGGAAGTTGAAGGTTGAACCCTGGGTGTTTTAAGGAGCCGGTAAAAAACCGGACAATTTTGGTAAACACGTGTTTTTCCCTGTTTTTTTTTCTCGGGGGTAAGGAAAAATTGGGTGCGTATAACATGACTGTGTTATCAACGTTCTCTACACTATTTTTAAACCTACAATTAAGAATTCTGGACATCAAAAACTATGTCTCCCTTAAATTACAATAATTAAAGAACAATCGCACTGGCAAAGAAACGTGTACGCTATCGAGGTTTAACACAACAGGATAAGGGATTTCCCCTTGCAGGGCTGCAGACACGTGCCAGGGCGGTTTCCTAGGTCAAATATATATTGCAATGCAGTTTTGCAGTATAAATGCGACAAGGTAAAAATCATATGTTGCTAATTTTTCCCAAAGTTTCCAAATTTTTCGATAAATTGTAACGGACGGTTACAAATTATCGATGGTTCGCCGTGTATATTCTTCTTATCCTTCGTTTCTGGACGTCGATGTCGGTGTGAAGTATTTCGGAACTTACCTTAATTATACTTTTATAATTCCAGCTAGCTCAGGTAAATAAATGGGTAAATAATAGGGAATAATTGAGTTCACTTTGATTTTCGCAAGTACTTGGTTAGTGTCAATAACTTGTAATCAAAATTTGGGCAAAATATTACTACAGAAATGGGTACCTGGAGGAATTACGCAATTGTCATAATTCGGTGTACGTTTGAATTTCAGAACCTTTTTGTTGCTGTTAGTAAAGATTGTAATAATTACGATTCCAAAACATTAACTAGAATACATTTATTTTACTTAAATGTACAAATAAAGGAAATAATTACAGTTACGTTGAACCTAAAAAAAACTAAACAATTCTAATTTTTGAAAATACTTTAGTGCTTCAGTCCCCGGGTTAAATACAAACTTCGTAAATAATGAGTTTTGAAAATATGGACGCCGCTGGATTTTAATTAGTATAAAGGAATATTGTCTTTTACCTTATGAATGAAGCCTCTTTATACAGTTGAAGTTATTGAACTCGATGTCGAATCTTGGAATTTTTTCTGCGAGCCGCAAATAGTGGATGCCGTAGATGACCAGGTCCTGGTGCTTTGAAATCTGCAACCCTACGCTGCAGTCTC